TTTATTTAATTATTATTTAATTTTTAAACTTTGAAATAGATTAAGAAAAATGGCAAAAATAATACAGAGAATTCCCACATATCCTACATCCAGATCCTCCAAATCTAATATTTTACCCATTTGCTCAATCGTTGTTTCTTTACATGCATTCTTTTTTGGTATTTTTATTTATTTAAAAATGGACAAAAATGGTATATATTTATGGTGTACAGCATGAAGTTCTGACTTATGTATACATTGTGGAATGACTAAGTCAAGGCAATTAACACATCCATTACGTCACATACTTATCAATTTTCTGGGGGGTGGTAGAACATGTAAAATCTCTCAGCAATTTTCAAGTATACAATGAATTTATTAACTATAGTTGTACAATAGATCTGAACTTATTCTTGTCTAACTGAAATGTTGTATCCTTTGACCAACATCTCCCTAATTTCCCCTTTCCCCTCACCATATATAAATTTATATATGCTAATTTTTCAGGCATTTGAGAATAAACTGCTTACACAATGAGTTCTTATCCCTAAATTTTTCAGCATTTCCTATAAACAAGGGTATTCTTTTTCATGCCACAATGATCACAATTAAGAAATTAGTAGTACTAATATCTACCCACTTTAATAGAATTTCACCGATGTTTCCATTGCCTTTTACAGTAAAAGAGACAAAAATAATCTTATGATAAAAAATTGATTTTTAAAATAATTTTTTTTTTCTGTTCCAGGATCCAATCGAGGATCACATGTTGCATTTAGTTATCATGACTCGTTAAATCGCATTAATTCCTTCAATTTAGAACAGTTCTTCAGCCTTTGTCTTTCACGACCCTGACATTTTTGAAGAGTGTAGCCGTTTATTTTAAAAGGATGTCCGTCAATCTGGGCTGCGTAAATGTTTTATACAATCTTCTTAGGTCTTACGTATTTCACAATTAAAAAACCAGATGCAACTAGGCCAGAAATAAAATGAACCCAGAAGCAGTAAATCTCAAGCAGCACTGTTTAGCAAGAAATCAGTAAAACAAGCCGATTTATCAAAATTATCGGTTTTTTAAAAAACGACTTTTTCTTGATTTTAAAACCAAAACAGTACCAAGACAGAAAATCAATTGAACATGGAAGGCCCCTCCCGTGCTAATCACTTGCACGTTCTCTCGACTCGGGAAGGCTTCTGCCAGAATAAAAAACCTCTGCGCATTATAAACTTTGCTTATTCGCAGGCGCCATTTTCTGCCTTATAGGCACCACCTCCCCTCCACTGTCGTCCCTCGGCCTCAGAACACGCCCCTCGGCTCACGTCACCAACCTAACCTCGTTCCCAGGCTCCAAGCTCCTCCCCCACGCAGGTCCCCGCTGCCTCCCTCGGACCGTTCGGCTCCATCCCGCTCTTCTGCTGACGTCACAAAGCTCGCCTCGTTCCCAGCCACGCCAGAGCAATCGGAGACCGCTCCCCGCCCCCAAAAGTTGCATTACGCAGCGCAGGCCGCGCCCCCGCCTTACATCGCAGAACCCACCTTCCTCCCAGGTTCCTACGCAGTTTCACTACGCAGGTCCGGCCCCACCTCCAGGGCTGAAACCGGTCTCATCACAACAAACCCCATTTTGTTCTCAGGCGTCAGACTGCACCACACAGGCCCCGCCCCTTTTCCAGACGTTGCGATTCATTCAAAGACACTTCCCCGCCCCTTTAGCCCGCTGTCCCGTCGGCCACTCCCCCGCCCCCGCACCCAGCAGCAGCTTTCCCGCCGCCCTCGGCCGCCGAATCTCCAGCGGTTGTCAATGCCCCCACTGTCCCCTCTGCCGAGGCTTCACCGCAGCCCAGCCTCACCAGCTTTCGCCGGCCCGCAGTGGACGTTCTCGCCCACTCTCGCCGTTTTCTATCTGGCGCCACTGGCTGTCTAGGCCTGGCAGCTCCTCGCGCTGTGGCTCTCTATCCTCAGCCACCGCCACCGCCGCCGCCACAGCCGCCGCAGCAGCAGCTGGATTTGCTGCGACCGTCGCCATCGCTGTCCGTTCTCCTCTACAGCCAACGCAGCTGTGCGAGATTGGAAGACGCCCCTCAACAGCCACTTCCGGATTCTGGTCCCGGAAACGGAAGCAGAGCCCCCCAAACAGTCGCGGGGCTACTGCCATATTGGAAATGGCCCCGCGCACAGACGTGTCGAAGGGTTAGGTGGGGTAAAATCTTCAGTGGGAACCAAGAAAGACAAAAGTGCCTTGTGGGGTTCCAACGCCCTGTAGAGTTAGGGCACAGGTGGCATGGAAAGTGGAGGCTGAGGTTCCCGAGGTGGGCGAGGACTCCTACCCTGGGAGCAGCGTTTGTTAGCCTGATCAGAATGCCCTTCATTGTACTACCCTTAACCATCAAAACCCAACGCAAAAGAGGTTTCCACCTCCAGAGACCCACCTAGGCCTGCGAGTCATTGTTTCTCTTCCTGAACTAGATTTATTCACTAGACAAGGTGTTGAAGGCAAGTTAGCCCCAGGCCCTATGTTTGTTGGAGTCATAGCAATCATAACTAAACTAGCTGTCCGCCCAGTTTAAGTGCTTTGTTGGACTAAAATAGTAGCCTCAGGCAGCAGGTACTGTCCTTATCACCCATGGGTAACAACTGGACGCTGAGTACCAGAAATGTCCCTCAGCTAATAAGTGGTGGAGCTGCAGTTTAAACTTGAGAAATCTCGTTCCAGAGCTGTGACCTTAAACACCAGGTCAAACATTCTCCAACCGTGTGGTCCCAGCCTGTCTACCGGTCCAAAACTCCTCTTGGGGGTTCACAAAATGAAAACTATTTTCACAATACTTTTTCACTCTCATTCTCTCAGGGGTGTACAGTGTAATTATCTAGAGGCTTCTGAATCCAGAGGCTATATGACATAAACAAGAACTCTTTTGAATGTCTTAAACTTTTAAGAACATAAAGGAATCCCGAGGCCCAGAGTTTGAGAAGTCTTGCACTAGGCCAGGGTCTCTCAACCTCAGCACTGTCATTTCTTTGTTGTGGGCATTGCAGGATGTGTAGCAGCATCCCTGGCCTCTACCTACTAGATACCAAGTAGTACCCCTCAGGACAACCAAGTGTTTCCAGACATTACCAAATGTCCTTTAGGGGAAAAATGTCTCTGATTGAGAACCACTGCACTAGGCTATGCTATTCTTTTCTCTGCCAGGGCTGCCAGCCCTGTTGGTGATGACTTTAATTTCGAACCTCCCTTCCCCCTCACAATCTCGTAATTTACCTATTTTCAGTTAACCTCTGCGGGGCAGGGATTGTGTCTTTATTACTCTGATTCCAGCCCCCAGCCCAGACCTGGCATAGATGAGGGGTCAGTTTTGTAAGCGCTGGGTGAGGTAAGGGAGCAGCCCTTTCACTTAAGGGTCCCCAAAGAAAGTGGCATTTGAGTTGAGTCAGACACATGGCAGATAGCTGCTCTTTAAGCCCAGTTGAATCTTGTCAGATTCTCTGAATTGATTCTCCCCATTACACCTCTGCAGACTCCCCCTCCCCATTTATCTGGGCAGCCAGGTAAATCCAAGAGACCTCCAGCCCTAGACCATTTTTTCACCTTCCAGAGGCCAATCTCTGCCCACACCAGTGACCCTACCACTTCCCAGAGCAGTTGGGTGAAGTCTACTCCTTTTAAATCCACCCTGGCAATCCTGTCCCCCTTTGCAAGGCCCTCCTTTTCCCATCCTCCGTTGCTGCCAGAAGTGGCCATGTCATCTGATTCTAGCCAAGAAATAGCACCGGAAGTCTGCTGAGGAGCTTGTGGAAGTTCCAGCCGTTAAAAGAAAACAGGCAGGTAAGGAAGGTGTTTTGTTTTCCCTGCTTGCTTTTCCACCTCTGGGGACATGGCAGTCATCATGGCACCATGAAGCTGCAAGCTGAAACATCACTAAAGTGCTTACAAAGACACAGTAGAGGCTGGGCTTGGTGGCTCAAGCCTGTAATCCCAGCACTTTGGGAGGCCGAGGCGGGTGGATCACTTGAGGTCAGGAGTTCGAGACCAACCTGGTCAATATGGTGAAACCCCATCTTTACTAAAAATACAAAAATTAGCTGGGTGTGGTGGCGCATGCCTGTAATCCCAGCTACTCAGAGGCTGAGGCAGGAGAATCGCTTGAACCCAGGAGGCAAAGGTTGCAGTGTGCCGAGATTGTGCCACTACATTCCAGCCTGGGCGACAGAGACTATCTCAAAAAACAAACAAAACACAGTAGAGTGATTAGAAGTCCATGGGCCCCCACCACTGGGCTTTAGTAAATGGCCACTTAATTAGGCTTGCCATTACTTGCAGTATTTACCTGGCCCTGCTCACCCCACCTCTTCTGCTTGCAAAACAATCCTTGGCTTTGCCTAAGATGGTGGGACTGGGGCTGGAACTCACAGGACAAAGGAAATAAAAGTCTCAACTATCCTCATACCTGAGAGCAAATCCCAGGTTGTGTCATTGATCCCTGGCCTCTTGCAAACTCTCTCACCCATGCCCATGGTTTCTATTACTTCCTGGACACTAATAATTGAAATTTCCAGGTTAAGGATTTCTCTACCTACTCAGTGGTCCACAATCTACCCTTTACTGTCAAGATTCCCTCCACTTCATGGTTTCCTAGTCAGATGCTGTAGTGGTCATACAGGGCCTTTGCCTCATCTTCCCATCGATGGTTCTATTGGGCCTTCCAGTGTCTTTCAAACATCATCTCTCCACTCCCCTGTCTCCACCCTCTTATCAGGCTTTCTCACATTCCTGGGCAAATCTAACTCCCCTTTCTGCTTCTCAGCCCATCAACACCATTCAGCCTGCCCTACCTGCTTCAACTCCATGTTCTACTGTTACATGTGCAATACCTTAGATGCCTTTTTCATAGTTGTGACGTGTCCCTGGTCCACTCCCAGTGTTTTCCTAGACAGTGGTGATCAGGTATGAATTCTCCAAGGTCCCAGTAATCACCCCAGCTTGGCCACCCTCCACCCCTACAGGGATTTGCAAGCAGGCTTTTCACTTTAGACTTTTTAATATTTCATACAGCGATTATGGTGCATTCAGGAACCCAACCCTCCAAACCCACTAGGAGGGCTCCCACCCCTGCCCTCCCACCCCATTTCAGGGCCCCAGGGCTTAGGGTGGAGGAAGGGGAGGTAACCACCCATCCAGGGACTGACCCTGGAGACTGTCCCTGCCCTGCTCACCCTCCCCAGGAGATAGGGGGCAACACCTGGGCACAACCCCTCACAACCCCCTCCCCCAACCCTGCTTGTGCACATATGCACAGTATGGCTCCTTGCTGAGCTGGTCAGTTCCTGGCAGGGCCCCTACCCAACAGCACCGAGTGGGATGGGAGCAAGAGGGCTGAGCTGGGGAGACCCTGAGAAGGAAGGAGGCCCCAGCTATGGGACTGCAGGAGAGAAAGAGTGGGGCCCCCCACCTTGTCCATTTCCCAGAGTCTCTGGTAGTCCCCAGATCCTCCTGCAGCTAAGGATGGCAGGCGGGGGTAGGAAGGCGAGTGGCCGTGGCATGCTTTCCCATAGCCGATCCCAGGGTCTGGTGATGATCAGGGTTCCAAATAGGGGCTGTGTCCCTGTCTCTGAAAGGCTGGGAGCAGGGCTTCATTGCACAAAATACTGTGGGAGGGCCACACGCAGGGGGTGGGGCCCAGCCAATCTGTATACAGAGATATTGCATTTAAAAAAATGAAAACCTCATTTAAAATAATTAAAAAAAAAAAAAACAATGAATGAAACAAACAAAAAAAGGCCCACACAATATGAGGCAGGTGGGGCAGGCAGGAAAGCAGGCAGGGGATGCCTCAGACTCAAGGCATTGTCACCATCTTGTCTGAGTCGAGATTCCCAGCCTGAGCTAGCTCTGGACCCCTGGCTGGCCGTGGGGTAGTGGTCCTGGGGGATGGTATGATGAGGGGTAGGCCTGGCCTCAGTGTGGGAGGCTGGCACGGCCATGCTGTCCACCGGCAACTACCAAGATAGAGACAGACAGACAGACAGACCAAGTGAAGGAGTGATGAGAGCTTTGTTAGCACCCAGCAGACAGGCCAATGGGTGGGTTGACAGGCCAATGGTCAGGTGTTTGGACAGGCAGCAAGGGACAAGTGGGCAGGTGAACATGGCTCAGGCAGGTAGGCAGAGTAAGCAGGGAAGATGTAGTTGGGGGCTGCCCTGTGAGGGGTGTGGCATCCCTCCAGCCGCTGCCTGCTGGGGCCTCGGTCTGTGGCTTAGAATTCGGTGTCCACCACGCGGAAAGCTGGCCTGCCTGTGGGGGAAAGCAGAGCAGACGGCTGTTGGTGGGTAAGCAGGTAGGTGGGTAGGGTGGGGAGGAAGACAAGGGGCTGTACCTACCTGAGTCAGGCATCGACGAAGACCGAAGGCTGGCCTCCTTTTGTAGCTGAATCTCCTTTAGTGCAAATATGGAAGTAGCTACAGATGGGGGAGACATAGAAGTGGGGGATGACCCATGAGGTCATTCAGGACCAGCCCCATATGACCCCACTGGAAGAATTAGAAAACGCTGCCTCTTCTCTGAGAGGCTTGACCTTCATCTGTCAAACAATTCCATATACAAACAAGCTACAACCAGGGAAGATAAAATACGGACTATTACATGACACAAAGAAATCATTATTAATTTTGTCAAGTGGATTATGGTATTGCAGTTACCACTGGTTAAGTCTAGGTGATGGGTGGTGTTTGGGGTTTGCTTTATGTATTAATCCAGTGGGGAGATAGGGAAAGTGAGCAAATGTTTTTTGTAGGTTTGATAATTTGTTTTTAAAAAAATCTTTTATAGGTATATGCTGAAATTATTTAGGGATGAATGCTATGATGTCTGAGATTGGATGTGATTCAAAATAATCAGAGAGAATATAGATAAAACCAGATTGACCACGGATTGATGATTTATTGGAGTACTTAGGGACTCATCATATTATTTTGACTAATATATAAATACATATATTTGAAAATATCCATATTAAAAAGTTTTTAAAAGCCAGATAGAAAAAGAGAACATCACATGTGATTCTATTTCTATAAAATACAAGGACAGAAAAAAACTTATCCTTGCTGTTAGAGGTCAAAACAGTGGTCACCCTTTGGGGAGGGGCTGGGAATAACTGAAGGAGATGCAAGGGAGCTGGGGGTGGGGAGCTTTTAACATTCTGTTTCTTGACTTTTGTGCTAGTTACAAGGATACGTTTCATTTATGAAAATTCATTGTATAGTATACTTATGATTTGTGCATTTTTTAGCGCATGTAAGGAAATGTCTACTTTAAAAAAGGTAAAATGCTATTGCATATATTTTTATGTATGTTTTAAATTTTTCATGAAAGGTAAAAGGAACTGAAAACTAAAAAATGTTTTCATAACAAATACAACCCATCACACCTGTGAACAAGATGTCCCCCCACTTAGCGTAGCATAGCCAGAATCCTACACAACCCGCCAGCTGGCCCCAGCAGTTCTGCTTCCCAGTCCCCACACTGGCTGGTCCATTCCCCAGCTCCACTCACTGTCAGGAAGTTTGTGGATCCGCTCCCCCAAACTGAGGAAGAATGGATGTTTCATGGCATCTTCTGCGGAGATCCGATTTCGACCCTCAAACTGAGTGGGGGTGGGGGGAGGGGGATAGTATTGATTATCTTCAACGAGTAGGTCTCTCTGCCCACCTCAGACCCTGCCCCTGGTTTGGGGGGGGGGGGTCCCTGTTTCCCCACACCTGGAATCCCATACCCCCAAGGCTGACCCAAGGTGGTCTCACCTGCAACAGCTTGGTGAGGAGGTCGGCCCCGTCGCTATCAAGTCTGCCACAAGGACAAAGAGACCTGCTTTAAAATGAGTTTGGACACTCTGGCCCCTAACGTCCACCCACCCACCAGCCTCACCGGGGTGCGTGGCTCAAAAGGGCCTCGGCTCGGTACTTGGGGTAGTTGTATGTCTTGAACTCCTCATTGGACAGGATGCCTGGCCACGTCTCCTCAGTTGGGGTTCCTAGTAGGGAAGAGGAGTTACCCCAAACATCTCACAGGTCCTCTCTGTGTCTCCACAGCGTCTAGGGCCCATGCCTCCTCACCTAAGATGCGGAAGATGAAGTGTAGCTGTTCCTCCACCGTGGAGCCCGGGAAGAGGGGCCGGCCTGTGGCCATCTCATAGAAGATGCAGCCCACACCCCTGGGCAGGGAGGGCACAGTGAATAGAGAGGCAGCTGACTGGGTGGCTGTTGTGACCAAGCCACCCCCTTTACGACGTGGCCCCTGCCACACTTCCACCTGTCCTTACCACATGTCAATCTGAGTGGAGTAGTCCGTGGACCCGAGCAGGATGTCAGGGGGCCGGTACCACAGTGTCACCACCTCATTGGAGTATGTCTTTGTTGGGATTGACTTGGCCCGGGCCAGGCCTGGAAATCAGACAAAGGACAGCTAGAGTGAGGGGGTCATGGGCAAAGTCTGGGGGAGAGTGCAGTTGAGACCGAGGGTGTCCTAGGCAAAATCTGGGAAGGCTGAAGGGAAGTGAGACTAAGTGGTCATGGGAAAGTAGGAGGCTGGTGAGCCAATGAGAAGAAGGGGGAGGCCAGTGGTACCAAAGTCAGCCAGCTTGAGCTCTCCTCTCTCGTTGATGAGCAGGTTCTGGGGCTTGAGGTCTCGGTGTAGCACCTTCTGCCGGTGGCAGTAGGCCAGGCCACGGAGCAGCTGGAACAGGAACAGCTGGGGACCCAGGAATGGCAGGCAGAGATCAAAGACTATCCACTAGCCCGACCCCCAGCAGGCACTGCTCCCCTCCCAAACACAGACACCAGGCCCAGAGCCTTGTCACACAATAGAGGACAGGGTCCCAGTGCCCTCCAAGGGCTCCTAGCAAAAAAAGCCAAAGGGAAAAGTCCATTTCTGGGAGATTTGTGGGTTGGAGTGGGTGAGTGGGGGCCCCCTTGTGCCCCTGCTTCCTGCCCCACACCCACTTTCACGTTGTGCATGTTGATGATGTTCCCACAGTCATCCAGGTACTGCTTCAGGTCCTTGTCCTGAGGAAAGAAGAGGTGGTACAGGAATGAGGGTTACTTCCTATGGCTCCTGGCCTTCTCCCCACCTCCCCCCGGGACCCAGTGCCACCCAGCCTTACCAGGTACTCAAAGACAAGGGTGAGGGACTTCTCCGTGTGGATAATGTCATGTAGCGTAACGATGTTGGCATGTTTGAGGTCCTTGAGCAGGGACACTGCAGGAAGCATGGGAGTGGGACGGGAAGAGTCAGGGTCCTACCCTCAGGACAGAGGTGAGGACAAGGACTAGAAAGGGACAAGCCCAGGTTTTTTTTCTTTCTCCAGACAGTTCAAGGTAATGCCTCGGAGCCACCAGCTCTAACCCACCTCATGCAAGTTGTCTCCCCATGTTGCAGATGTGGAAAACAAGACTCAGAGGAGAGTATGGAGCAAGAACCTGGGATTGCAGCCCCAGGCTCATGTGACACTAGATTTTCACAACCTGTTTTTGGTTTCTGGGAAGGGGCCTGGCTCCAACCCTCAGTACACAGGCCTGCAGCATCATGTGAAATCGAATTTGCATACTCAATTTCAGTGCAATTCAAATTCATTCCATGTGATATTCTGACTAGAAATTGTTACAGTAAATAAATTGGTGAGCACTTTCAGGGGTGTTCTCGGAACCAAACCCTGGTTTGCAATTCATCTACCTTTTATCCAAATGGGAACAGATTCCTGGTTACCCTGATTATTACCTGGATATGTGGGTAACAGGCATTCCCATGAAAGCCAGAGTGTTTTGCGGGGGGTCCCAGAACCAGTCTTTGTTCTCATTATGGAGTGTGTGCACCAGGGGTGAGTTGGGGAAGCCTGGGGCAGATGGGATGGGGGTGTGTACCTTCCCGGATGGCGGTGCAGGGTGCCCCCTCTTCATGTTCCAGTCTGATCTCCTTGAGTGCCACAAGGTTGTCTGTGAGCTTGCTTTTGCCTTTGTAGACGGTGGCATAGGTACCCTGGAATGTGAGGAAGTGTGACAGGAGAGGTGCTATGAGATTCCAGGAGTTCCCACTGACCTTCATCCCCACCATGGGCCTCCTAGCTGCCTCTCACCTCGCCCAGCTTGTCCAGCTTAATGTAGGTCTCCAGTTTCCCAAAGCCAATCTCAGACTGTGGGACAAATGAGGCAGGTTGAAGCAAGTTCAGAAGGGTCTGGGAGAGGAGGAGAAAAAGGAGAGGACAGGAACACAAGGTGCTTACTAGGCTGACACGACGGAGGCGGCGGCTGAGGGGCTTGTCAAAGATGGGGCTATTGAGGGTCAGCTTCTCCAGGTAGCCCTCAGGCAGCCGGATGTCAGCTGGTAGCGATAGGCGCTTGTTGATGTCCTAGCAGGTAAGGCGAGAGAGAAACAGGATCATGAGTTCCACCTCCCCAGGTCCAACCCCCTTTTCCAGCTCCTCCACCATCCAGACTGGGTCAAGCACCTCAGTGGAGATCTTGCGTGGGGGATGGTTGCGCATGCGCACTCTCACTGGAGACTGCACCTCATCCGAGGAAGTGGCTGAAGCCTGGTCACTCTCCCCATCAGACCCCATCTTCAAGTCCTCGTGCACAATCTCTGGTGGCAGGGAGAGGGGTAGGGCAGGCCAGGTGGGGTCAGAAACCACAGGACACCCCCTCCCCCATGAGACATATTCCATCATCACACATGTGTGCACATGGCCCCCAGGGGAAACCTGGAGTCCCTCAGGGAGAGGGTGATAGGGCCCAGGGAAGCTCAGGTCCATCTAGGACAGGTTGAACTGGGGGGTGGGGAGGCAAAAGTCACCTGGTGGAACCTTTCCTTCCAAGGGAAAGCTGAGCTCAGAGCTGGTAGCTAGGTGGTGGCAGGGGAAGCCAAGGGTCCTGGGAAGGCAGGCCCAGGGCAGGCAGGTACCAGAGGCCTGAGGAGGCCATCACAGAGGGCAGAAGGGCAGAGGGAGCCTTGGGGCAACTGTGACAGGCAAGGCACCCTCTGCCCCCTTACAACGGGGCCTGGGCAGAAAGGCAAGGAGAGGAGCGCAGATGGACAGATAGACCGAGGGTGTTGAGAGAAGACGGGAAGGAAGGCGGAGAAGAGAGCACATGGGGGCAGAGAAAGGGCAGAAAATTGAGAGGAAAATGAGGAATGTGGCCACGAGGCAACACCTGGGAAGCAGCCTGGGGTCATATGGGAGAGGGGGTAGCCAGTGGACCCACCTGGTGCAGAGCTGAGTGGGCCCCGTGCAGAACGAAGTTCCCCAGGAGCAGCACGTGTGGGGGCCTCTCCAGGGTCACTGCCGCCACCACCACCACTCTCATCCAGGCCTATCTGCTCAGGGGCACCATTGGTCTTGTCTATGCCTCGGCCACCTCGGAGTGTCATTGACAGCTGCCGTTTGATCTTCTTCATCCGATCCATGGCGATCTGAGCAAGGGACAAGGATGGAAATGGGTCTCATATTAGCATTTGCTTGATCACCATGGGTCCCCTAAAGCCCACAGTCTAGCAGAGGGCACTGACATGGACTTGTCAGTGCTCACTCAACCAATATGGACCCCAGAGCCACTCAGGATTTCTGGAAACCCAACATGGACGGGGATCTTTGTAAGTACCTGCCCAACCACAGAGCCAACTCCACTGGGACCCTGCTCCTAAGTAGCCCACCTGAGTTCTCAGATTTAGGTGGCTGATTGAGGGCAAGGGCCCAAACGATGGATTGTTGGCCTCTAGGGGAAAAGCCCCACTGCAGGAGCAGAAGGCTCCATAGCAGATCTTCTCAGGTACAGCTGCAGTGATGGGCCCAGCCATGGGTCGGCCAGGGCGTGTGCCCAGAATTGAAGGATGGGTGACATGGCCTCGAGCACGCCCATAGAGTGGCATAGTTCCCCTGGCACCACCCTCAAAGGCCAAGACAGATTATTCCCTGTGGCCACAGGGACCCTCCTCCTGACTTCTCTAGCACTCATCGTCATGACAACCACTGCATCATCCCATTCATCTACCCAGGTGGGTGGGGGGGGGGAGTGTGTGTCAGGGTGTCCTGCCCAGACCCACCCACTGGGTGGGATTGTGTGGAGGGGGGGATCTCAGTGTATACCAGCTGTTCTCAGGGCTGCCAGAAAGGTTTGATCAGGTTAGGACCCCTAGGGTCCAATCTAGACTTTTACAAGCCAGGTCACATTTCTCCTTTACTCAAGAATGTACTACCTTTCCCATCACCCCAAATACACACCCCAGTCCTCAATGTGGCCCACAGGTCTTTCTTTACCTCATTTGGCCCTATTACCTCTCTGCCCACCACCCCCCCCAACCGCCCCGCCACCATTCTTACTTGCTGTTCTGTAACCACACCCAGCAGAATCCCACCTCGGGGCCTTCACACTGGCTGTTCTTGGTACCTTGGAACACCCTTCCCCTAAATTTCGAAATGGCTCACTCCCCTCTCCCTTCAGGCCATTGCTCAAAAGTCACCTTTTCATGAGGCCTCCATGAATAACCCTATTTAAAATCTCAACCATCCCGAGCTCCCTTACCTTGCCAGTTATCCCCCCAGAACTCATTACCTCCTCAGAAATGACACCACCTACTTATTTGTTTCTTTAGTCTTTACTGTCTATCTCCTCACCGCCACAACTAGAAGATCAGCTCCGCCAGGGTAGATTTCTGTGTTTAGGTCACGGCTATATCCTGAGGACCTGGAATAGTGACTGACACAGAGTAGATGCTCAAAAAGTGCTTATGGCAGAAATAAGTGAATCAGGGGGCTGAGGGCCTAGGACCAACCTCTGCTGAGGTGATGAGTCCCTGCTATTCATTGAACAACCCTAAATAAGGTAGCCCAGGGATGCTGGCATCGACAGGAAGATGACCTAGATGGATTGCTGAAGGGAATGGGGCCACCAAAAGGCTTAGGCCAGCCGTCTTCTGCTTCCTCTTGGGCTCTGGGCCAGCAAGGAGGGGGAAAGACCTGGCCCAGGAACCATCTGGACTCACAGCAGGGCCTAAGATGGCCCCGGGCCCAAGGGAAGTAGAGCTAGATAGGAGGTCGAGGATGAGACTGGGGCTGGATTTGAGGAGGGAAATGGGTCATCTGCTACCTTGAAATCAGGTGCTTCCCCCAGCAGTTCCCACCCCCACCTGGCTGAACTCACTATCCCCAGGAGGGGTAGGGGCCACCCTAGCAGAAAGACCTCAGATACAGGATGAGGTCCATCCATGGAGAACCCAGGATAATGACAAAACATCCTGACCTGGGAGGCTGAATACTGGGCCTAAGGCGAGGAAGGTAAAGCATGGCCAGCTCCCAAAGACAACCTTGTGTCCCCATATGGCACAGATACCCAGTTGCTTTGCATGTTGTGACAGGGAGTAGGGGAGGGGCTGGGGGAGACTGGAAGTAGGGCTGAATGGAGGATGGGGAGGGAGCCAGGAGGAGCCATGGGTCCATGACCTCTAACTGGAAACCCCAAGGGCTGGACATGCTCTGGAGTTCAGTTTCTTGGGATTTTAGGAAGATGGGGTGTAAAATCTGTATATCACATGACACTCCCAGAAAGGGGGATGGGGGGGCTCAGGCAAGCCCCTGTGAACAGAGATAAGTGAACATTTATACTCAAGGAAACTTTTAAATATCATTTCAGTTGATTGAGCTTTTTAGATTTCAAAAAAGTGAAGGAGGCAGCAAGAAACTGGACATAAAACCTCACCCCAAAAAGGGCACATGTCCTGCCTGACCCTTCCTGATCCCTAAAGACATACACCCATCCTCAGACTACTCTCATACTCAAGGATACTCACCACACCAACCACTAAGGACCTGGTCATCGCACTCTATGTCCTGATCCCCATTAATACACGCTAGACCCTCAAGGAGGCCTCACTACATCTTACCTGCTATTATCTCATATACCCATCAGCATTCAAAGCCCTAACACATAACATACCGCCCTGAACTCTGTCAGCACACACTCAGCCTCCTCTGAGTAACTCTTGCCACCACATTCTTGGGCCCCTCCCTGGCCTAGCTTCTTCTTGCCTTCTCCATAGCACTGACTCCCCACATTAACATATTGTTCCCCTTACATGATTCTGACCTCTATTAACATGCACTTGGGGTACTCTATAGCTGACCCACATTAGCACTCACTGGACCTTCTTCATGCTGCTCTGGATGCTGTTAACATAAAGTGAACCTTACAGAAAGATCTCTAGCCAGTGTTACCCACACTCAGGCCCCTTCACAGCTATGACCATCATTAACACACATTCCAGTCCTTCTACTGTCCTGTCCCCTTGGTCAGCACAAACTGAGTCTTCACTCAGGCCTGATTTCTATTAGCACACACTGGGCCTCACACAGTCCTGCCTCCCCGTTAGTACACTCTGAACCCTTACTCAGCCCTATTCCCCAGGGACACAAGAACACACTGTTCTACCATGGCCTGACCCTCATTAGTGCACACAGGTCTCCATTCAGCCCTGACTCCCATTAGCACACATTTCAGCCCTCCCTAGCTGTAATCCACTTTAGCACACCGAGATCATCACACATTCCTGTCCTCTATTGCTCTCTGCTCCGACCCCTCCACAGATATAATCCCTGTTGGTTACACTTGGATCCCTTCATGAAAGCCCTGATCCCCCTTATTACACACTAGATTCCCTCTGCAGCCCTACCCCCAAGTAGCACCCCCTGGAACCTCAACATACTCTGGTCCTCCGCGGACACAAGGGCACAATCTTTGCAAGGTTCTGATGCTTATTAGCATATTCCAGACTTTACACAGCTGACTCTCCCAATGGCACACATTGAAGAGCCTCTATGGCTCTAAACCCACATTAGCAACCACCAGAACTTCTTATATTACCCTGCTCCTTCCTAGTGTGCCCTCGAGACTCTCATTCCCTGTGTCCATGGACACACTCACACCTCACATCACCTAGACTCTTCATCCACTGAGCCTCTGACGGTGCTAAAACACTTCCTTCCCCACCACCCCTTCCCGGGCCCAGGCAGACACACAATTCGCATCTCCCTTAGGCCAGGCTCAGGTCTTCCACAGTTCTTCCTCCATTAGATACCCTCAGGATCTTCCTCCACTCTGCCCTCATTAGCATATACTGGGTCCCAAACTACCTAGACCTTCGAGGCCACAGGCATACATTCTCTACAGCCATGACCCTCACTGGCACACACGCCTCACTCGAGTCCTTCAACTACCTGCCCTCCAAAAGCACACACTGCATTCTCACACACCGCAGGCCCCAGGGACAGACACGCAGCATTAACAGCATCCCGGGCCTCACTGCCACACGCCAGGCCTCAGAGCCCTGACCCCATCAGCACACGTTCTGGTACCTGTGCCACCCTGTCCCCCATGAACACACACCGGGCCTCTCCGCGGACATAACCCCTATGAGCATGTCTTGGAACTTCCTCGACATCCCCCGTTATACACCCTCGGGTCCCTCACCCGCTCCGCACCCCGCCCTCCTTCCACAAGCACACACGGGGCCTTGAACCTTACACAGCTTATTGGCATGAGGCTTACTGCCACATGCTCCGACCCCCATTAGCAAACCCCCCAAGTCTTTCACCCCATTGTCACCCATTTCCACACCCTTTGGTCCTTTGATTTCCCCTGCTCCCCATTAGCACCCACAGCACTTCCCACCCCAGCTCCCAGGACGGGCCCAGGGCGGGGCCAAGGTCAGGGAGGCCCCAAATGACCCCCGCCCCGGTGCATTCTGGGAAATTCGCCGGGGGTGGGGGCACCTGCCAGCCCGGCAGCCCAGACCCCT